GATTCAGATGCACGTAGGTGGTGTTGCCTGAGCTAGGTCCCCAAGGGCAATTAGAATGTGATCAAGGTGATGGGGTAAGCTCATTCTAAGAGAGATGGGCCAGCAATGACAGGTGAGCCTGTCATATCTGGTGGTGACAGGGACATGGATTTGTCCGTCGGAAGCAGAGCTTTTCAGCAGGGAGCCCTGAAGTCATGCATGAGTGGGTGGACTTGGGCTGATGGGTAGAACTGGAGTGTGAGTAAGCTTGGGTCTTTGACTCTGATGCAACACCAGTGATTTTTTGAACATCGTCCATCATGGACCGTGCTGATGGAAACCACGTCTAAAAGTGAAGTGATGAGTCACAGGTAGGATGAATCTGAGCTGGGGTTAGCACTGGCGTGGGAAGAAGGAAGGGTTAGGGGGCATGAAAGGAAGTGTGTGCAGAATCCTGTGGATGTTTGGATGGCGCATATGAAGAGTTAGATCCATTGTCAGTGGTGTCTTCCTCAGGGTGCCAGATGAGCGACTCTCGGACCCTTGCCTGATGCTGTTGTTGCCATAGCAGCCAATGTCGCCAATGCCGAAATCGTCCGCCATCAGAAGAAGGATGTTTGGACGCGCACCAGATAAATCCCCACAAGCTGATGGCCTCACACCCAGAAGCACGCTGACCGTCACAGTCAACCAGCTCCTGAAAGACAAGGTGCCGATGAACGCTTAATTAACACTGCTATTCCATGTCATGTATGTGCCTTCTGTAAGTGAGACTTTTGTAGGTGTGTCACCATTTTAGGGGACTTTGATATTAGCATCCCATTGCCAAAGAGTTTGAATACATTCTTAGGCATTTGATTTTTTTTTCTTCGTTGAAAACAGTTCATGCTCTTGACGGTTTTATTTCAACTGTAAACATTTTTTTTTTTATTTTAAGCCGTGGGGTCTGTTGTTAGGTGATCATACCCTTGATTAAGAAAAAGCCTTATTTGGTTTTCTTTTTATGCATGGATTAGGTCCCCAGAAAAGTTATAGCTCCTTCCCCTTTGCCCCTTCTTGATTTTTCCTTAAATAAGGAAACTGTGTTAAACTTGGGTATCTGTGGCACTTTGTAGGCAGTTGGGCCACTGAGCAGAGCAAGACAGAGATGAAAAGTCAGGGCAAGGGCTTACCAATGCCAACTGGTGATTCTGAGTCTGTTAAAAGTCTCCATATGTTCCAGCATGAATGTGACTGACTTTTTTCATTCACGGATACCTGATGGGAAGTGGGTCTTTTGAGGTGATGGAGGTTGCAGCCCAGAGCAGAGACACCTGATATGGTGGTGGCATATCAGGAGAAAAAATTGCCATGGAGCTTGGTGGCTATCCCACTATCATTACTACCATAACCGTGGTGTCCGTGGAGTCCCTCCTATATATATATATGGAAGCCACCTTGGGCACATGCATACACAGCAGGAGAAGACAGTTGCAATCCCCAGTGCCATGGAATAAAGATGAGATCGGAGTCTCCGAAGAAGATCTGCAATATGGGCTCCCTGGAAAACCAGACAACTGGGTTTGGGAAAAGTGAAATAGAATTCCTTCAGAGGCTCCCGGGTGGGGAAGCATGGATCACTGATAGGAATCCTGAGTCCCACGATCACTCCCCCAGATGCACCATCAGTGACTAGGTGAGCAAGACCACTCTGTCCATGTGTCCTGACAAAGGGACAAAAAGAAACGTAGAAGCAGAAGATTAAGGATCGCATGTAATGCTGTCTTACCAAGAGCGCTCCCGAGGTAACATGTTCTCTCCTGCCTTTTATTTCCTGGAAGAAAGAAAGAGGTCTATCAGAACAAAGGCAGTAGATGTGCACTAATTCCATGTATAAAATACTAAGTACCTGAGGAAAGGGAGAGTTTGACTCTCTCTAATGCTATCAATGAAACCTTAAAACGACGACTGAAAACTCATAAAAAGAATGGTCTTCCCCATTGAAAAGGCCCTTAAAATGCTGAACACTGTCTTAAGAAAGTAGAACGTGTGTCTATTGAGGGCGAGATGATACACATTTGGGGCTTTTCTACCCAGATGATCCTTGTTGCTACTATTCTGCTCTGCGGCTATAACATGGCAGAGTCCATGGGCGATAGACACATGACCGGGTGTTGTTGTCTTCCACTGAAACCTTATTTACAGATCAGGTGAGTTTTGCCCCCATGAACCATAGATTCCTGATCTTTGATACAGAAGGTAGAAAGGAAAGAAAATGCAAAATTAAGTGATACGATTATTGACTTGAAATGATCTCCAATACATGTATTTTTCCAAAAATTTTTACTTGCCATAAATACAGATAACAAAATTTACCATTGTGACCATTTTTAAGTGCAAAGCTCAGTGGCATTGAACAGATTCACACCATTGTGCAACCATCCACCTCTGGAAATTTCTCATCTGTTCGAACTGAAACTCTGTCCTGATTAAATACAAACTTGCCATCCCACCCCACAGCCCCTGGCTCAGACATTAAGGCAAAGCCAACTTTGGATTTTTGTGGGTCAATGACCTTGACCTGGCTTGGCCCTTGCAGTGACCTTGAAGCTCTAGTCATCAGTTGTTTGAAGAGATGATGGCTTCCATGGTGTGGGGGGAGGGTGCTCCTGAGTCTGGGGAGCATCCAGCCCTCCTGTGAGCACTACCCTGTCCCATGTGAGCTACTCCCTGGGAGAGGCCAATGAGCTCTGTGTCCTTCCAATCCAGACTGACCTTTGTGCATCCTTCATGTTCTGTGGATGTCAGTCCTTGCTCACAGGTGATACAGGGTTCTTTGCAAGCTCCCTGGCCATCTCAGGTGATTTCTCACACCTTTGCACATGGCATTCATCTCAGCGGAAGGACAGGGCAATGAACCTGTGGTCAACCAGATGGCCATTACGTGCCACTGGAACAAGGCAAAGCTTGTGCAGGAAAAGACCCTACAAGATAGGTTCCTTTGCGGGCCGTATGTGGATACCGGAGACTGCATCCATCGTAAGGAAGTTTTCAGGTTCAATAAAGGCTGATGGGTTCCACCAATGGGCAAGGTCTAGCACCAAGCCATGGCTGTTTATTCACTTCACTTATTCCCAGGAAGGATTTTCATGAGGTGTGAGCCACCCAGCTCCGTGCACATTTTTATTTTGCTTCTGGAGGGTGCGTGATGTTATGCCTTGTGATAGTACCTATGTGTTTTCTCTACCATCCAAAATGTTTAGTTTACATCGAGGCTCACTCTTCGTGGTGCTCATTCTATGGGTTTGGACAAACGTATAATTACATGGTTCCACCGTTATAGTATCCTACAGACTGGTTTCATAGCCCTAAAAATCCCCACTGTTGCACCTGTTCATCCCTCCCCGCTCCCAACCCCGGCAACCACTGACCTTTTACTATCTCCATAAGTTTGCCTTTTCCAGAATGTCCTAGAGTCAGAAGCGCATAGGGTGTGTGTTGTTGGTGAAGCCACTCCACTCCTCTGATGGACAGCTAAGATGTCAGGGATTCTGTCTACCTGATTTGCTTTTACAGGTAGAGGGTTTCGAACAGCGTGTCTCAGAATGAGCAGAGGAGGGAAGCTGGAAATGCTTTCTTTTCGTACTATCCACGTGCAACCTACCTTTAGTTTGGTCCAGTGCACGACTTTGGGCTACACATCTTAAATCATGACCTTTTAGGGGGGTCTGTATAAATGTTTTTATTTATGTACATTTATAAATTACATACTATGTTATACATTATATGGTAATATATATGTATACACATACTATACATTATTATATGGTAATGTATAATATGTATGTACTACATAAAAATATAAAATATATGCTATAGGATAAAGTAGACATGGCCGTTATGTGCAGCTGAGACAGGAATTTTATCTATTTATACCTAAAATTTTGGTTTTTTTGCCAGAGAAAACCTATCAGGGGATGCTTCTGACTTTTCTGGGGAAGGTGGCTGGTTTTATCTGTCATGTCTGGTTACAGTTGAGACTCTATATCTGACAATCAATCGTAATTGAAAACTCATATGAGGTTTCCTTACACCAAATCTTTGGCCTATCTTCTAAAGGATATGCTCTACATATTTAGCTACATAAAGGGAGTGTGTATACACACACACACACACACACACACACACACACATATATATATATTTGCAATGACCTCAGCAGTTTATAGAATGCTGCATACTTTCCTTCAGATTGGCTTCCTGTTAGCAGAGAAAACTTTAAGAAAATACAGGGGGGAATAGCAGAGAGCGGCGAGGTGGTTCCTAGGGGCTGGTGTTGGGGGGGCGCTGGAGAGGTGAGGTTTAAGGGACAAACTTACAACCAGAAGAGGATTAAGTTCTGGCGACCGATTGCACAACAGAGCACTCATCCTCAACAGTGCTCAAAGTGGCTAACAGACCAGATCTTAATCTTTTTGAAAGCAAAAAAAGGAATGGTAACTCTGTGACGTCCTGAGGGTATTAGCTAAGGCCGGTGTCGTAATCACAAAGCAATTCCTGCATGTACCAAAGGCACACGTTGTGTCCGTCAAACTTAGACAATGTTATCGGTCAATTGAACCTCAGCTTTTAGAAAAAAGATAGGGAAAATGGGGTGCAACGCATAATATAGGCTTTGACTCTCTTCCAGACTGGGATGAGATTGCAACCCTGCTTCCTGGCTGTCCTCCAGCCCCAGGGCAGCAAGCCTGCCTTTGCCACTCCGTCTGAGCCCTGTTCCCAAATTTAGCTGAGTTTCCAATCTCCAGGATCCCTTCCACATCCAGTCCACATGCTTTGAGACCTGTAGGAATCTAGGATCCTTCCATTTCCTCCACCTCTGGATTATGTTTATAGTTCATTCCTATCTGCATTGCTTTTTGAAATCACCCCAGGGAAGGGGAGGGGGTAGAAATGTGTCACTGATGTTTTTGCTTTTCATTTTTTTCCCCCTTTTTTACAAAATTGCTTCTAAAAGATTTCTACAGACCGCCTCTGAGGACATGGTGTGCTCTCCATGGCGGCGTGCTGTTCAGGACAGCTGCCCAGCATCCCTGGACGTGCTGGGACCTCCCTGCCAGGAGCCCCAGGAGAGCCGCTTACCTGAATGGCTGGAGGTTGGAGGCTGGAGGCGAGGGGCTGCTCGTGCAAGGCAGGGAACGGCCTCTCCTTGCCGGGGGCCGGAGGCACTCACCCGCTCCGAGTCCCCAGGCCTGCTCAGGCTGCTACACGCATGTGCACAGCTGATTCACTCTTCAAACCCACAGCAAGGAGGTGGCAGAAACCAAGTTCGGTTGTCCAGAGAGAATGGACAAGGCAGTCGCCGGCGACCGGGTGCTAAGGTAGGGCCCGTTTCCTACAGAACACCTTCTGTTCTTCATTACAAAACGGAACCCTCCCAGAAGGAGCCCGGAGGACTCGTGCTGAGAACAGTGACTCATTCATTCCCGACCTTTGTTCAACTCAGAGGGATATTTGCTGGCTGTGTTCCAAAATGGGAAAGTCATCGCCTTGAAAAACGCCTCTTAAACGGTCCTTAAATTTTGTAGCTTTTATCCCCCCTAACTCTGGCATCTGCCTCAGAAATAAAAAAAAATAAAAATAAAAAAATAAAAAAAAAGCCTGGGGGAGTGGAACAAAGCACAGCTCTGCTTACATCAGCAAGCACCATCCTATGCAAATAGCTTCGCACCTCCTTAACCGTATAACTGTATTTGTGATCTCCTTCTGGGTTTTATGCCATATTTGTTTGTTTGTTTGTTTTCTATTCACGAGGGAGCACGTTCCTTCCTCGGGGGGCAGGATGCAGATTTCAGGCAGCATTAGATACAAATGTGATCCTTTCCAAACCTTTCCTGAATAAGAGCTTTCTGCACACTGCTGCGGGTGGAATCCTATCAAAGGATCCATCCTCGAAGCCCCTCATGTATTTTCTTCTTCTTGCTCTCAGCAGCCTGAGCATGGCCGAGTTGTGATTTGAGGCTCATGCTGGGCAGATAACCGTCTTATAACTCCACAGCTTCAAAAATTCTTTGCAAATTTCATAAATCAAAGGAAGAAGGGTAGGCGCCCTTTCCGTGGGGATGCCTGGTGCTCCATGGCAGGTCTGCTGAATGATTCTGGTATTTAAGGAAGGCAGCCAGACTCCTTCTGTTGTTTTTTTACCCGACGTCAACTAAGAGAAGACAGGTCTCTGAGATCTAAATCACAATTCCCAGGTGACCTGAGGTTCAGTGCACCTTGGTCTCCCTTCAGTGAGAAGACCGCATTCTTGGCTGGGGACCTTTTGACATTTAGGGACCAGGAAATTCTCTTCTGTAGGGGCGGTCCTGTGCATTGAGGGGTGTTACATGGCATCTCTGGTCTGCACCCACCAGATGCCACTAGCCCCCACCCCACCCCGGAGTCGTGACAACCCACAATGCCTGCCGACATTGCTGCATTAAGGACCCCCCAGTAATAATGCATTTCACAGATGGCTGACACACATGTGATCATCACAGTCCTGCAGGGCAGGGGGCACAAGGAGGCTCTGAACCCAGACTTACAGCTTCTTGCTCCTTCTCCTGGGAGCTGGGGGTTCTTCCTCGTAGCTGAGAAATCACAGAAGCAAAGCCCTCGGCTACTTTGTACACACCCTGGATTTAATGCCTCCTGAGAAACCTATTTTTCTGCTGCCCTGAAACCAGGTCATTGTGTGCTTGGGTTTTGAGTCATTTGGGGGCTCTAAGATGACATGTAACTGTGCATCTATATAGCATTCATGAATTCCTGCCAGGTAAGTTCTAATTTGGACTGTATTCCCCCCCACCTCCGCTGCCCACCTGGACCTTGGGCTTCCACTCTATTTACTTTTATGCCTCATGACCATGGAGTCATATTTTATAGTATTCAGCAGCAGCCCAGACATCACACGGAGACTGCGGGATTGCCTTAAAGGTGAAACATGATCCCCAGGGAGAAAGGTCTGTCTGCAGAGATTGCACTGCAGGGTGAGGGCTTGGAGGATCCCAGGATTAGAATGTCTTTGAAGTATGGCCTCCTTGCAAGCTTGGCTCCTTGCTTGTAGCTCCAGAAATTATGGAGCCCCGGGTGAAACTGTGTTGCTGGGGTGATGACATGGCTGTCTTTTTCATGGTAATTCTCATGTGAACGTCTCTCCTTGTCCTCACGCACCTATCCCCATTTTCAGACTGTAAGAAAGGGTACAATTAAATGAGAAAAAGTGCTATGATAGAAGCAATTCTTATATCCCAACCATCTGTCTGTCATCTATCCATCCATCATCTATCTACCCATCCATCCATCATCTATCCAGCCATCCATCCATCTGTCCACCCATCCATCATCCATCATCCATCATCTATCCATCCACCCATCCATCCACCCATCCATCCACCCATCCATCCACCCATCCATCCATCCATCCATCATCTATCCATCCATCCATCTATCCACCCATCCATCCACCCATCCATCCATCATCTATCCATCCATCCATCC